CCCTGGACCTCAACCGCAAGGATCCGATCGCAGTGTGCACCCCTGGACCTCAACCGCAAGGACCCGATCGCAGTGTGCACCGCTGGACCTCAACCGCAAGGATCCGATCGCAGTGTGCACCGCTGGACCTCAACCAGATAGTTGGCCAGATAAAATGTCAGATAGAATGCCAGGTAGATTGCCAGATAGAATGCTGCAAGAAGATGTGCCAGATAGTATGCCAAATAGTGTGTCAGATAGATTGCTAGATACATTGCCAGATAGAATGCCCGAAAATATGCCAGATGGAATGCCAGATAGAATGCCAGAAAAAATGCCAGATAGAATGCCAGAAGATATGCCAGATAGAATGACAGATAGTATGGCAGGCAAAATGCCAGATAGTATGCCAGACAGATGCCAGATAGTTTGCCAGATAAAATGCCAGGTAGATTGCCAGATAGAATGCTGCAAGAAGATATGCCAGATAGTATGCCAAATAGTGTGTCAGATAGATTGCTGGATACATTGCCAGATAGAATGCCAGAAAATATGCCAGATAGAATGCGAGAAGATATGCCAGATAGAATGACAGATAGTATGCCAGACAAAGTGCCAGATAGTATGCCAGACAGTATGCCAGATAGTATGTCAGATAGATTGCGAGATAGAATGGCAGATTGAATGTCATGGTGGGAGTCACTCGAAGTAAAGTAATTTTATAGTCGTAGTCGTAGTCGTAGTAGTAGTAGCAGCAGTAGTAGTAGTAGCAGTAGTAGTAGTAGTGGTAGTAGGAGTAGCAGTACCAGTACCAGTACCAGTACCAGTACCAGTAGCAGTAGCAGCAGCAGCAGCAGCAGCAGCCGTCGTCGTCGTCGTCGTCGTCGTCGTCACAGTAGCAACTGAGAGTAACTCTGAAAACAATTTTTCTACAACTAGGGCTCTGTGTTTTGCATGCGTTCACCCTGAGGGCACTTACAGCACGGCGGAAAAGGAGCAGATGATTGATGAAGTCATGGCGGAACTTGAGGGCTGACAGCCAGGGCTGACAGCTTCGGCGTCTCGACTCGACATCTCTCCATGCCATGAGCACCCCGAGGGTTTTCGCGTGCGAACTCCCTCCGGAGATGAGATCATTCATGAGGGTTTTCGCTGACTCTGTTTGAGTGACAGCCGGCGTCCGTGCTCATCACTTATGCGTGAATTCAAGAAGATGGCCTTTGAGCAGCTATGCTGACATTCCTGATTGTGATGGCAGATCATTTGTACAGTGTAGTTCCCTTTCATCAGTTTGATGCCTTGATTCTAGCTGCCTGCCATCATCGTGAAATGTCTCAATATGAGCTGGGTGACTGAAGTCGAGTGAGTAACCAACAGCCCAACCGCTGCTGCTTTATCAATCGTTTCTGGTTGTTGTTGTCGTCGTGGTCGTCGTCGAACTTGGGTAAAGAATGCAACAAATTGTTTTCCTTGAATATGTTGAAGCTGTTGCGCCTGGTGTTAATGAAATTAAACGACATGTTGAAACTGTTTTCTTTTCAGTTTTCCTTTTGATTGGTTGGGTGATGCAGCCCCATGGCTCAGAAGGTGAGAATCAGAGGGAGCCGGATGAAAAGTGCGGAAGGCGGCCCCATTAAGTTGTAGTTCCAGTCGCCTGTTTTTTCATGCCCTTCCAAGACGCAGAGCTGGAGAGCATGTGATATCCATTTCACTTGTTTACCGCGTGCCGCGGTTTGGTCAGGGGGATCCACCCGAGGATGCCGGCGCACCTCAATTCCAGCCTGCATTTCTTGAAACTCTAGCTTTGCCGTGAGCTCTACCGTTGTTCTTTCCACGGCGTTCTTGAGCGGCATGAGCAGCCCGCGTCACTAACATGGGTGGTGAACTTGTGTCAACAAATGACGCGTAGTTGGTGTTTGTGGGTTTTGGTTTGGTTTTGGGTGTTGCGGTGTGTATTGGCCGTATTGGCCGGCCTTGGCGATGAGCTGGATTGGTTCAGGCAAGCGATTGGAAGGCGAGACCGGAGCTTGAGTACAGAGCCCCTTTGTGACAGATATCGCACACACACAGGCATGACCAGACAAACTGACACTACTTCGACGTAGACTGGACTCTAGACTCCATTCCCTTCAATCCAAGCACAGGCAAGCATCAAACACATGTTGCACACGTGGGGAGGAACCGAAACCATAGCGCCGTGCCACCGTGGCTCTCCAAAGCCGTGATGCCCAAAGATGGCGATTTCTTGCAACAGTTTCACCACTTGGCCAGTGTGGTGTCCTCAGCTTCGTTCCATTGGGCCCTTCGCCTCTTCGGAGGACGGTCGTCCTCCGCTGAGGCGGACGACGAGCTGCGATGCCGCGCGGCGCTGCTTGGCGAAGCGACGGGACCGCGAAGGGACCGCGATGGGGCCGAAGGCGACGCCGTCGGTTGGCGTGGAGGTGGGTGGATTTTTGGAGGGTGGTGTGGGTGGTGGTGTGTGTGTGTGGTGTGTGTGGTGTGTGGGTGCTTAAGGCGGCAAATCACCATTACCCTGCAAAGTGGCAAATTGGAAGCGCAGGAGCTCCCGCAGGGGACTCAGGATGAACGGTCGCGGGAGTGAGAGAAGTGGATCGCTGGCACGGGAAGCGTTCGATACAGCGGGACTGAAACGGAGCAAGATTGGACGTGCGCAGCCGCTGTAGTAGTGATTCCCTTTGCTCCGTTCGTAGCGATGCCCGAAATGCTGAACCTACACTTCCAGCATATTGCTGTATTTGATCGCCTGAGCTCACCACAGGTACTCGGTCACGCGCTTGGTGCGTGGAGTTGGGGGGCCTGCCGGTCGTGGATCGAGATGCGAGCCGCTCAGGGATTATGTCAGGTTATGGCTATAGCATGGTTATAGATGGTTCTTATGTCAGGTGATACATGGTTTGTCACTTCTATGTGTATATCAGATTATATGATGTGTTTACCATCTATAGAGGCCTTTTGCTTTTGAGCAGGTGAGTCGGGCGGGCGGTGAGTCGGGGTGTTGCACCAGCTGTGTCGAGCAAGCGGGAGACCGCTCTGATGCAGGTTCTGGTCGGCGCAGAAACACCATCACCAGTGTGGTAAGCACCATTCGCGGTGGATGATGGACATGTCGAAAGACACTGACAGATCGGTTCAAAATCAGACTGGTGTCTCCTTTCGTGTCTCCTTGAAGGATTTGCCTGAGCCAGTCATCCGCATGGCATTGTGGCTTTGCAGCGAACGTACAACACACCATCCACGGTTTCTGAGCCGAACAACTCACGGTTTCACGGTCTCAGCTCGATGAGTGCATCAGTATCATCCCAAGAGCACCAACAAACAGAAACATGCTGATTAATCAACAGTAAAATGCAACATCCCTTTGGGCTTCACCGACCATCCACACTCAAGACATCTCAAGACATTGCACTTGTTTGGTGTCTTCTATCCTTTCGGTGCCCATCCGGCCTCCGCCAGTTTGATGCAGGAGGGCAAAATCCCGTGATTTGGTGGCACAAACCGGTCTCAGGTTCAGGCAGTCGGGCAGATCAGCTCCACAAAGGTCTCCAGCCCCAGAAGATTAGACTATTATGAATGTTTAGAATGTGTAGGTTACAAGTGGCATGCCGCCCAACCAATGTATCTCCTTCTCTACAGTCTTTGTTTTTTGGAGATTCTTGGGGTCTCACCTTGCTCCTCTCTAAGTTGGTATCGTAGCAAGTGGGCAAGTGGGTCGCAGCACGTTTGTGCCTAGCCGAGCTTGACCTATTCAGATGCAGGCTGCTGGAGTCCAGGCTTTGGATAGATACCATAACTTCACAGTGACAAGAGTTGATTCCTGGAAGAGAGCTGGTGTGCTGAGGCGCCATCATGAGTGATGAACCCCCACAGGTGCCTGATGTGGACGAGTTGAAGGCTGGTGCGTTCATGCGCTCCTGAGTGCATAATCTAGCAGAGGGAGCAGGAGTAGGAGAGTGTGGAGAGTGGGTGAGAGTAGTGGTGGGAGCAGTGTCTTGGTAGGAGAAGTCAAGAAGTAGAAGTGGTAGTGGTGGTACAAGTAGTCGATGTGGCGGTGGTGGTAGCAGTCGCAGCAGCAGCAGCAGTAGCAGCAGGAGTAGCACCATTGCTGCTACTACTGCTGCTGCTGCTGCTACTGCTGCTGCTGCTGCTACTGCTACTGCTACTGCTACTGCTACTCCTGCTGCTACTCCTGCTGGTAGTGGTCCAGTGGTAGTGGCAGTGGCAGGTTGCAGAAGCTTCGTCGGGTTGGAAGGTGCCACTAGGACGAGCAGCAGCTGCCCCAGCATCGTCGCCGTCGCCCTCGGCAGGCCGAGCTGGCCCGACGTGTCCAAGTACCGCAGAGCTCGCTGACCTTTTTGGAGCCCTTGCCACCCGAGCTGTTGCGAAACATTTGAGCCATGGCTGCCATGGGCAATTCAGTGCTCCCAATGTCGCAGAAGAGAGTGCGAAAAACCATCCTGACCCGAAATCCTGCACAACGTGGACTGAGCAGTGAGACCATTGGGTGTTAGATGATGAACACCACTCAGCAAAAACATGTGGAGATCCCTTGGGGCATGCAAAGCGGCCGAGGTGAGACCTTCGACAATTCCGGCACCAAGGCTGGCTGTGTGGGGAAGAACAGGAGGGAAACTGGCCAGAAGTGCCAGCAGTCAGAACACGTAAACGTCAATTGTGTGAAATTGAGATGTCGCCATCCACAGCAAGTTGGATGCAGATTTTGAGTCCAACGCGCAAACTCAAGCGGCTGTTCACACCAGAAATGCTGTAATTCCACATTCGTTGACTTCGTTGTTATTCTTGTTGTGTGGACACTTTTGCACTCGCAAACCATCCAGGCAGGCAAACATTCATGCTTGAGTTCACTCTGAATTTTTAGGCGCACATATATATATATATACTGGATGATCACTGATAACCTGAGGTTACAGGAGGACTATATACTGGGTTATTTTGATGTGCAGCATGTTGAAGATTGTTCTCTATTGAACTCACTTTGCCTCGAGGATGGCAACATGTTGGAGAGGCTGGAAGCCTATGCGAGGCCCGGCATTGCCAACTGGTAGTCTCACAGTCATACAGGGTGAACAGGGTGGTACTATGTATTGAAAGTCAGGGAAGTTCCAAGTACCACCTGGTAAATATCGATCCAAGCAACGACGATCAACGTCCAGTGAAAGGGGTGCCCTCGGTTCAGGTCCGTCGCCCGGCGGAACCACCTCACACTGGAGCCGCCGAGCCTGCCCTCCAAGGCCTTCCGGGGGGTGTAATTATATATATTTATATAGATATTGTATTTTATGGTGTATGCATGTCCACACATAATACAATTGCATGCAAGTTAGCTGGATTGTAGGTGGGTTTTGGCCACGGGACATTTGATTTGAGTTCAGAGTACGATTTTAGTTCACATGCCAAGGAAGAAGCCAGTTCATGTGATGAGTTTCATGCAGCACCCCCATAGATCGCAGTGCATGGTAGGAGCATCGATCGCAGTCAGCGATTGAGCGGTGACTTGGCATCGCAGAACCTTGCGGCGTGACATGTCGTCATCTTTCGTTCATCACTGACGATCGTTGAAGCGGACATGTGGACGGCCTTGGGAACTGAGCAGAATCTGACTGAAGCCACTCACGATTGAATTCAATGATGTGAAGTGGCTAGCAGCTATTTGCCAGAAACCCCTGACATTCGGAGGGGTTCGTTCTCAGGAGGGTCCAATCCTTCATGGCAGACCTGGCCGCTGGGCTCCAAAAAGCAGTCGATGCGAAGTGAAGTGGAGGCGATTCCCCAAAAAGTGACCCAAGGACTCCAAACAATTCTAAGGACATGGGTGATGACGCTTTGGAACTTCTTCAATGCTTGAACCCGACGCTGCAAGCGGAAGTGATTGAGCAATTTGATATTCAAGGCAGCTTGGTTGATCAAAGGAAGTTTAGTGTGCAAAACTTCCGTGTTACGGACATTCAACAGCTGTTCAACCACCACTCATCATACACCACTCATCATACACCACTCATCATACACCA